GGCTTCGGCACGGGCCGTGCGCCGCACGGCGAGGCGGCCGCCACGCGGGCGCCTCCACAGGCTCTCCCTGCAGAGACGGGGAAAAGAGGCGCTTCCCAAATCACAGCCCAGCAGTTAGACTTAAGGCATCTCTTTTAGGATAAAATGTGTTACAGATGACCATTTCCTCTGCTTTGAGTGAAAGGGGAGCTAGACAGACTAGGTGAAACGAAGTTTCTGTTTGGCCAGGTAAATCCCAGGAAAGAGGGTCCCAGGTTGCAAGCAGGTACAGATAACAAACGCTAGCACTGCACAACACATGAGATGCTTTTACTCAGAACTGTGACATTTTGGAGCATTGATAAACAGGATGAACACAAGCCTGCCTGGCAGAAGAACCGTGACAGCACACTGTGCTGGAAAAGCAGAGAGCAAAACATGAAGTTTACGGAGACCATCAGCCATAAACAAGCTACGTTGACACGACTGGTATGTTAACATGTCTCACTGCAATCCTGTCTCAGCCAGTACTCCACCGAGGTTTTTAAAAGAACACATCAAACATTTACCTTCTTATATTATTTTCGGAATAAGCCAGTGTTGCTTGAGACTTTATCCTCTGCTGGTTCATTTCCAGAGACAGTCTCTCCAGGTCGTCTTTCAGCTGTTTATTTTCCTGCAGAACTTCCGAGATATCGGCATCGGGAGACCCCCGTGGCCGGCACACGCTGCCACCATGGAATGCTCCTGCCGAGGGCTCGCTCCTGCTGGGACTCCTCGCGCCTCCTGCTAAGCTATTCTGCTTCAAGTTCTCTGTAGGGTTTTCCTTATTAGCGGCTTTATTTCTGAAATTATCGTCAGACAGCATCACCATCCTTTCTTTCTGAAGTTTCTCTACAGTTTTTGTGAGGTTTTGTATTTCTCTATTCTTGGTGATCAGTTCTTGATTTAGTTTTAACAATCTCTCTTTTGTATTAGCTTGTTTCACTTGAGAATCTGTTGACTGCATGTCTTTGTTTTCCTTTTTACTTCCAAGTGTTAGCTGTGAATTTTGACTTTTAAGATTTTCAATTTCGGCCTGGAGGTTTTTAACAGTGACCAGATGGATCTCCTTTAGGTTTTGAAGTTCCTGTTCAAGCTCTGTAGAACTGGCTTTATCGCTGCTCAGTTTTGGTGATTCACTCATGAATTTATAGGCAAGTAGTTGCTCGAGCTCTACAAGCCTTTGCTCGTACTGCACCTGGGAGAGGGGAGCAGAAAGCACTTTCCTCAGCCACACGCTCCGTGCTACCTTTTTATGTTATTTTCTAAAGGTACGGCATGGTTCTGCAACACAGGGTATGTATCAGCATTACTAGCAACACTACGCTCAATTAGTTCAGAAATTAATGCATTTTAGCCAATAAACTACAGCACATAAATCAGCTGTAAAAAGAGCATTACTCAACACATTTAGTACAAACTCATCCTGCTCTCACAATGAAAACAGTAGCTATGAGAATGAAAATTAAATTAGCATGGAACCCTCCATTTCATTTTTATATAATTTAGTCCTGTTCAGATGGTAAGAAGTTGGAGATCCAAATTAATATCTCACTTTGCTGCCAAAAGAAATATCAAAAGAAATCTTTATCTTTGTTTAAAAATCCATTCTGCATCACCCGTAAGTCAGCTTGCAATTATTACTGTCACATACTTTGAAAGTTACACTTCATATTTTTCACATCATCAATAAATTTAACAGGACAGCTTGCTGTTGTGGTCATTTCTTTTCCCCCTCCTTTCTGAAAACAGAAGTGTGAATTCAGAAAGACAGAGTCTTTCTCCCAAGAAAGCTGGGGAAAAGCTGATAGGAAAGCTGGGGAAAGGCTCTTGTAAGCCTGGAGAGCCTCTGGCAGGTCTGAGAAGTTACCCACAAGGGAAGAAAGAGCAACAACTGACCAAGGTTTTCCTCTCCTTTTCCCTAAGAGCCTATGCAGTTCACCTTGCCATAAAGTAAAATGCCAAATTTAAATGCTTCTTAACACAAATTTTAAGACTTGCTATCAAATAATTTATGGATAATAGAACGATTAGACATTCTTTGTAGAAAAGAAAAAGTTTATACGATTTTTGAAACAACAGCCTTTGATACAACAAGGAATGGAGCAAGCTGCTTTTCTGCCTCACAGGATGAAACCCACGTGTCCTATCTGTAATGCCTTTGGCATTAAACGTCCTCTCGGTCTCAAGCCTCTAAACTAAGAATTTTGGCGCTATTTGTGTTTCAGAGGCAGCAAACCATTAATATTCTGGTCACAAATTTTTCTGAGCATTTTTTCTTTGAATATGGTCTTTGCCTTCAATTTTCACCCCTGGTCTGTTTTAAACTCCAGTAACCTCAGAGCATCTCTTGTGGCTACTGAATACGACTGCAGTTTTTACCTTTATTTTCTGAAATTGTTGTTCCATAGCACGGAGACTCTTTTTAGCTTCATCATCTTTATTCTCCAGTTCTGTTTCTAACTTTTTTATTCTTCTCTCCAAAAAATCAATTGTATTTGTTTTAGCTGAAAGATCGTTGCTTTTCTCAGCAGCAGCCGCAGCATAAATCAAAGCAGGCAAAGAATTTGGATACCTTCTTTTTAGAATCCCTTCCATTTCTTTGATCTATCAAAAAGAAAATTAAGTTAGAAGTCAAAAGAGAAAATCCAGATGAAAAGCAAAGTGAAGAGCACCCACAGAATGCTAACAAGGGTAACCCACCTAAAAACTGGGTGAAGACTGGGCACCAGAGATGCACATTTTAGGGCTTTTCAATATAGTGTTTTTTCACACTGCTTGCATTTACATTCTAAAAAGAGAACTTTAAGATCAAGTTTTTAAACTACATGTACATATACAGAAGAGAGTGGTAAGACTAATGAGTGTTTTGGAAAGGATCTTATAAAAGTAAGATTGATTAAGCTCAGCCTTTTCAACATTAAATAAGCAGGACTTGCTCTTACTGGCTTTTCCAACATCTTCTATTTAAACAGAGTATGGTTCTATTTTATAATCAGATTTATAATCACTTTTTTAAAAAAAAAGTATTAACAATATTAAAGGTCAAGACTTAAAACATTTACTGTTTCCTGAAATTAAACTCACACTTCCACATTCCACTCCAATTTTCAACTATGTTACAGAGATTTCATAATGTTATTGAAATTATTCCAACATCAGATTACTGTATGTTATTTTATTGTGTTCATTAATTTAAAGGAGATATTAATAAACATTTCATTAGAACATCGAGTTATTTATGAAGTACATTAGTAAATGTTGAAAGAGGTTAAGGCATGGGGAGTAACTGCTCACTTGTCGCTCGAGATCCTGAATTCTTTTAGCATCTGCTGCTCTGTCCCTCAGACGTTTCTTCTGCTGCACACACTGATCTCCAGCTTCAGTTCTGAGCTTCTCGACCTATCCAGTTTATGAGAAAATAAACTATAATTTATATTCGGAGATCCTTTCCTCTAATACAAAGATACAAAAGTTTCAAATCAACATAGTACAATGGAAGCACCTACAACTTCAGAACTGATAACAGTAATTTTAAGTAATTTCTGATTTTTCTTCAGATTCCTAGCTATACCTTAATATCAAAGAAGCTGAACCAAGCCACAGGCAGAGAACTTCAACTCAGGGGCACTCTTGTTGGAAAGAGAGTAAATCTCGTGCTCCTTTTTCCCACCCTCCCAAAACACGGGTTTGGTTAATATGAAATAATGTAATGGACATTTGTCTTGCTTGAACACAGCATCAGGTAAGGAAACAGTTTTGAGTTATGCAGGGCTATGCTCCATGATGAAAGAACAAAAGAAGGACAATATGTCGTGCCTAAATAAATGCTGACTCAGGATCAGGGGAAGAAGCTGGATATTTGCAGTTTCTGCTCTCCCATAAAACTTGGCCATGAAGACTCAAAGCTTCAATCTGAACTTGGGCTTGCTACATGTATCAGCCACTGCTGCCACTGTACAGGCCCATTACAGGTTGTAAAACCACAAATATTCCTATCCTGGCTTCTCTCTGAGCGATGCTGGATTGGAAATGTGCCCACAGCAAAACTTGGGGGCCAGCACAGAGGTTTTGACTCTTCTACTGCTTTCTATGATAGTACAGCTCTTCACACCATTTTCAAATATTGGCCTGTCCTGAGGGGAAAAAAAAAAAGTGCAGCTGAACTATTCTCTCTAAAAGCCAATGACCTATTGCTGAGATTTGAATGGGCACCTATCATATGGGGGTACAAGCTTGATGCAGTGGCCTTTAATGGACCTCCTCTCCCTGGCTTCTCTTTCAGAAGCACCTCCTTGAATCTGATCTCACCCATAACAAGTCATTAGGCAGCCTCCCAGACCAGTGATATTTAATTGCTAGGAATATTCTTTATTTCTGGGAACTTTAAGTCAATTCTACTAACAGGCAATTCAAATCTCAGATCTATTCAGGAATAATTCACTGGTTTCACTTGCTTTTTATGTTATTTCTTTTTAGCTCCCTTCTCTTGTAAACAATCCTGTCTGAGGAGCTTAGAGCTGCTACTTGAGAGAGGAAACGTTGCCTGCGCTAAATGGGGGAAAGAGAAGGGCAGGAGGGGTCTTCTGAATTCTTCATGTAAAAATGGATTTGCTCTTTGAGGGCAATAAATTTGCAAGTCTTAAGGAAATGACATTGTAGCTGTTTCCAGAAGCATCATCGAAACACCAGCATAAGGAAACTGGTTCTAGGCAGGAGGCACTGGCAATTCTGATTGCAAAGGCATCGAGCGCTCATTTTGAATATAGAGCCAGGCACGTTTGATTGGAAGTTATGAATTCACATGTGTATTCTTAAAAAAGCTGGAAGCACTGTGAAGCACAAAGTTCCAATTCTTAAAACTAGAAAGCTCCAATTTCTTAAAAACAAACAAACAAATTAAACACTTGACATTATCACCTCTAGCTTTAGTTTCTCAATTTCTTCTTTCGCATCTTTAAGACGGGCTGCATCTTTATCCAAAAGATCCTGATTTTCTGCATACCATTGAAGTCTTCTTTTTAAATGAGCAATTTCCTGCTTGTATGAGTCTTCCATAATTTTCAATTCATATGATTTCTCACCTATAAAACAAGACACCTCAGTGAATACTACTGAATAATTTTTAGAAACAATTAGTCAACACTATCCTTTTGGGGTACTTTCCATACATTTTTCGCCTTCACAATTGGTAAAATTTTAAGACCAGAGCAAAACCAGATTTTTTATGTAAGTGTATTTCAAAAAAACCCTCTCCCCCTCATATGCAATAGTGTTTCACAATCTATCACAGAAAGTATTTAAAGCAGGATCTCAGATGAACCCATCCTTGGTCAAGTTATAGCAAACAAATCCTCAGTAAGCACGTGGACAGCAGAACACACGTATTACATGTATTAGCCACACTTCTTCTGTTTGGGATCAAGCTTTTGAGAAGACACAGGGTGGAAATTAACTTTCAGCACTGTGATGTCTGATATTGGAAGATGAAGGAGTCCAATTTG